TAAGGACATTCATTGCAGTGAGTATAGTGAAATAATATTTCTGGTCATATAATGAACAGTTACTGCCTAATAATGCTAATATTGTTATTGCATTTTATCTAAGATTATTCAACACAAAAGTTGTTCTATCAATTAAAATGGAATTTCCCCTTTTATGCCATTTATAGATTTTTTTTTTTTTTTTTTTTTTGACAAGCAAAGATCATTAAGCCTCAGTAATAGCTCCTTTGGTTTAAGTAGGTGATTTTCCGGTTTGAAAAACGACCATATTTGGTACACGATTATGAACCCAATCAACGTGTCTGTTTTGAGGTTCTATGCATGTAGGTATGGTTATGATATTTTGCATGACCTTTTGTCTTAAAAAAATTTAATGCTAAAAAATAATATGCTTGACATTATGTGTTTTTGTTTAGAGGGGAAAGGTATTCCATTTTAGTGAGGATCACAGCGAGAAATTAAGTATTGTATTTCAGTTTTTGAAAGTGTACAAAGATATAACCTAATACTTTTTACATATTTCATAAAGCGATTTTGAATTGTATGAAATGTAGGCCTGGGTGAAAAGTACAAGGTCGTGAAGTTGTTAAATGAAATAATTACTTATATATACAATTCACCTATTAATTTCCTTTATTCATATACACGGAAATTGAAAAATTAACCATTGGATTACCTAACAATAGTCCCCAATGACTTCAGTACTCATTAGTTGTCGTTCCTGCTTGAGGATGTGAACTTACATGCAGTATTTCTTGGGGGAAAACATTTCATGTAAATATGTAGCCATGTAGGGATACCTAGCAGAATATACAATTTTTCAAACCATCTTTGATGTGGTGTTGTAATTTAGATTAGGTATGAATTTATATGTATGAATTTGTACATGTATCTTGAATGTTATTGTGCCACCTTACAGGGCAGAAAACAGAACGAAAGTAAACTTGATTTCTCATATTTATTGTATTTATTAATTCTTGAAATTTTGAAACAAGAAGACAATATCACTAAGTGATTGTATTACTTCAGTAAAAATTGACTGTCTTATCTTAATAGCAAGATCAGGACAAGGTCATCATATTTTCCCCCGACATTAAGATTTACTGTTACGAATCAAAATATGCTCACTTCTTTTTTTTTTAGTTTTTTTTAGAAATATTAAATGTTCATCTTTTTGCATAAAAAAGATAATTTCACATAAAATCTATCACGTAACACTACCAAATTGAATGAAAATAAACCTTGGCTAACCCGAATTTCCTCTAACTTTCTTTAAAACATTGAAGGGTTATCCATTATTTTTCTGTGCCTATTATATCTGATTTTTTTTTCTTATTTTTACATGAAAAAGGTGATGATAACGAACACTGATCGATCTCAATACATACATACATATATATATATATATATATATATATATATATATATATATATATATATATATATATATATATATATATATATATATATATATATATATATAACAATACAAATATATGACCAGGCATAAAACACGGACCCCCGGAAATTCCAGAGGTGGGAGTAAGTAACTATCCACTGTGGACCAGCCACACTCGCCGTGAGCCCTATGTATTGATCAGGTAGACAGAATATTCTGTAGTCAAATTTAGTATAAAAACAAAGGTCTAACAATTGGTATGAAACACGTCAGCTAAAATATGACTCAATGATAGGTTATATTTGCTAAAAAGGGTCATTATAACGACCATATAGTTTACGAAATGCTGACTTTAAACGAGGTTGTTGAAATTCCTGTTACATCAACCTATCTGTCAGTAGTCTGCCTCGGTTTTAAAAATTGATCATACTCAGAGGCTGCTCTTGAGAATCAAATAAGTTGGGAGACGTTAACACAAAATGCAGGTGATAGTAGAATATTACTATATAAATAAGGGAAGTTGACGATGGAAAGCTGAAATCATCTCGTTTGTGTTCCAATGTAGTTGTTAGCTGGCATTTATCTTCTGTAGTCAGTAAAACATTCAAATATAAAAACAGATACGGCAGACTCCGTGGTATCTTTTACATGTATTTCGAGTTCACTGGGATACTAGTAGTTAGAATAATCTAACTGTGTCTCGGACAAGCCCTCACCACAGTTAGAATACATCCCATATACTTGCAATGTAGTAAATCGGAGTGGATCCACTTCGAAATGATTTGAAGAAAACAAAAGGAGTTGCACTGAAAATAACTACCAAATTAATCATAACAAACCTTTCTGAGATTGTATATGCCTTTTAACCTAAAAAATAATCCATATAAATACGAAAATTCAACTCATTTTCTCAATGTGTTTTCATCGCTTCAAATTTAACGCCATGTTGACATTCGGAACTCTCTGGATTGTTCATAGGAAATGCACAGATCTAGAGTTCGAGTTATCGCCCGTGTTTATTTTGCAACATTGCCAATACACGGAGCGAATTCTATCGTTAAACCGGGTCCGTAGGACAATATTTTAACGATAGAACGTTCTATCTAAGATACTAGTATATCGAGTTGATATATAAATGGAAGTAACTATTATTAATTGATAAGATTTCGATGATATATCTGAATGTGGAGGAACTGTTTTCTTTTTTTCATGTAGGAGCTTTTGAATAAATTCTGCTTCATAGGAATATCAAAACAGGTCGGCTAATATAGGAGCACAATTACATGTAAAGCCCATCGTATTTCCAACAGTTTTTTGGAAAATCTGTTCTACAAAAACTACATAATCAGTACATCATGTAAATGAGGACCTCAAGCATCCTTTTAATGTCAACTTCAGAGTACCTGTGAATAGAATCAGAGTGATATTTTTAAAAAGTAATTTTGATGATGGCCAATCACAAGATATGAAAATTTCCGAGTTCCATTTTTATTGAAGAAGAGGTTGCATATGGTACAAAAAAAGCATAGTTTTTTAATTTTTCATGAGGAAAGTGAAGAGAAGTCGTACGTTTTGATGTTATTGACTTTTGAACAAATTGGTGATTTTGAATATTTTTTAATGTTCTTTGGATTTATTGAAAGTCCACCACTTTGAGAATATGCTGTAGCACAGTACGAGGGGTGATCAAAAAGTTTGCGAACTATCTCTATATTTTCAAAACCATAATTCAGATCACAATGAAATTTGTCTAAACATATAGTCATTCACACGGTCTATAAATAGCAAGTGTTTTGTAATGTTTTGCCCCATGTTTGTGATGTCACAATGTGAAAATGACGTCAATATGTAGATGACTTGTGACAAAAATGGTTGACTCAGTCGTACTCGAGCAACGAACGGCTGTAAAGTTTAACGCATATCTTTGAAATTCTTTTGCAGTAACATGTAATAATTTGTACAACGATTATGATGACAAAAAAACTTCCCAGAAATTCAATCATTAAATGGATTGATTGTTTTAGTAAAGGAAGGGAGATGGTTAAAAATGATGTTTGTCTGTTGGGGAAGAGATGTGTCCTTAGTTGAACAAAAAATAATTGAATATTTTAACAATAATACAATTATCAGATCCCTATGGTTTACTTTAGACTTTAAACATATCAGAAATGATAAAAAGAAGGCGCCCATATTTTATCCACACTGGTTAAACGACGCTCCCAAAACAGAAAACTAGGGTTATGATGGTCACCATGCTCATTTTGGGAAAGAATATCCTTATCCACCCATTCTATTGCCGAGATTTGACCATTTCTGACACATGGACCGTTCTTGTTATAAGAAATACATTGCATGGTAAGAAATATATGACTCGGAAAAGTCTTTTAACTTCTGTGAACAGAGCGCTACGGAGCATGTTACGTGACAGCCTGGATCACGTGATTCGCGCATGGGCAAGGCGGTGACAGATGTGCATTAAAATCAGAGAGGACTATCCTTAAAAAATGAACACTGAAACCTAATTTAATTTCTTTTTTGTAAGTAATTCAATTAGTTCGCGAACTTTTTTATCGCCCCTCGTACATCTGATGTTTGTCTTTTACAGTAGATAATAGTGAGGAGTAAAGAACATTTGCAGGGAATTTTATGAAGTTTAGAATTCAGTATAGGTAGGGTAGATCATATTCAGCTTGGTTGACTGGAATATTAAAAGTATTAGAGACTGGAATGTGATTTTGAAAAATTTCATCCTTAGAAAGTGAACTGGTCTATAAGTTGGATTTCCAAGCGTAGAAATAAAACAAAGCTCCTATTAAATACAGTTATTATAATAAAGCTTACAAACGAAGACGACATTGTCACACATTTCTTAAACGAAAGGTTACAAAGGCTTACAAAATTGTAGTTTGTTTGGAAAATATTATTTATTTAATATATTCTAATACCATAATCTCTAATTATAAATTTCATTCACATCAAAAAATCCTTAAATAGTTTGATTGCTTAAATCTGTGGTGAATATGAAAAGGAGAACTCATTTTATTTTCCTTAGCTGCTGCTTAGATGTTAAACTCACTGTACTATTTCTTTGTCAAGTTGCACAGAAGAAGGAGGGAATAAAATCTTATAAATTTCTAACATCTCAATAAAGGACATTTATCATGTTTATGAAAAGAAGATAATATTTTCAACCTTTTAATTAGTCAGAAAGTCGGTAAGAATGCTTCCTTAATGCTCTTTATTGAATCTTGCATAAACGGTATTAATATATTATTGAATTATGTTTTATGATAATTTTTGTCTATTGCAAAATCGTATAGGCTTGTTTCTAGACTTTTCAGCTTGTAAATGACTGAAAGGATTATTTTTTTAAAATCTGTATTTTTTAGAATAGATTATAAAAGTAACTCGCCAAATTTAAGTCAGATTGCATTGGTACATTTCAAAGTTCTTAAAATATTTTATCAGTTTTGTGTGTAAGAAATTTGTATAAAAATTTCAAAAAAGATAAACATAACAAATTTATTTTTCAGAAGTGTGATCATTAAGAAAGAGCAACTTTTCCATCCTTGTCTTCCACCGTTTCTCCTATTGTGTCTCAACTTCAAGTGAAGAAATGTGTGATCCACATGAAAACAACAGCGCTAAGATTGTCCATGAGTCAGTTCCACTGAAGGACACACAAGAACCAGGCGAGTTATCAGGTGAACTTAAAAGCATCAGTGAAATCAAAGAAAATTTATTCAATGCGACTCCAACTTGCAGTGATGGTGGTGCTGAAAACTTAGAAGCTCAATCTGATCACCCAAGTACGCATACAACAGATCTGAACTTGTCCTCAACGTCTCTAGGTTTTTCTGTTCATGAACCTGTCGAAAATGAAGACAGAGGGAACAATACGATCGATCCCCAGAAGGAAAGAACTAACCTCTCTCGTGCATTGTCACAGAGTTCGGGATATTCCGGCTCTGTTGAGAGTGAGTGTCATTTCCATGGCGAAAATCCAGCTCCTCATGACGCATTAGTAATGCGACAAGCTTTTATCCAAAGGACGTCCAGCGGAAGTTTAAGCAGTAGCCTCACAACTGAAGAAATGAGACGCCTCTATGACAAGGAACTTTACATATCTGGATGTAAGCTAAACATTAGAGGCAAATTTTGTGCATTGTCTGTGCAAATTCCTTTTCACAACATACATTGTATTTGATTCGCATAGATTTTAATATTGTGGTTGTATCGCTCATAGGTGATAAGTGCAGGTTGCTAAGAGGAACGTGTCCTTCTAAAGAATCAATTGACTTCTGGGATGACGTTGACATGTCCGGAGGTGACGATAAAATCAAATGCCATAGTAAGGTAGGTTTGCTGCTTTTATGTATGAATTTTTATATTTTCAGTTTCAGAACCTTACATATCATTCTTTGTACATTATTTTCTTGTTACAGAGGATTAAGACATGGTAGTTGTAAGATATTCCATCATTTTTATTTTTTTATTTTTTATTTTTTACTGTTTAAAATAAATTATTTTATTTAAGTTCCAATTGAATGAAACTTTAAGGAAGAGTATAAATGACTTGAAAAGAATGGGAAAAGATGAACTTGTTACTTACATTTTGATTATCAAGAATAATAAAGATGGTTGTCTTGTATCTTTTTTACCTATGTGTATAACCATTAAGTGACGTACAATGGAACTTCGGTATCTTGAACACCGAGATCTCGATTACTATTAATATAACAAAGTGAGTTGTAAGTAACCAACACTTTTTTTCTGTACGTATGTACACCGATATCTCCAATCCAGAGATATTTCAATTTTTATGTGTCCCATCGAGCTGGCTATAACGAGGTCTTGGTGCATGTTACTGTGTTTTTAGTGAATTTTATGCATATACTTGTATTAAACAGTAACTTTGCAGTAGTATTTTTATTTCAGTTCTGGAGTTATTTTATTGCAAAGCTAAAAGAAAAATTCCCAGAAGAAAGCGGTTTAAACAGTAAACAGACAGTTAATTTACTGAAGACGTTGTTGAACGTGCAAAATACAGGTAGGATACAATGAACTTTCGGAAGCAATGTTTTTGATAAAATGTGAAAGATAATGAACAATTATCAAGCTCAAAAGTCCGTTGGACAAAACAAATCGGGAGCAGAGAAAACACGGTCAATATTCAGCTCAACGATAGATTGTATTTGCAAGATCATTTTACCGACGATAGAAATTTCAAAATTTTGACTTTAAACGGGACTTTTGATATCCTTAAGTTGTATCACCAATGAATTATGTTCTTTAGCCCCAAAAGTTAGTACAATGTGCACTTGTTGATAAGAATATTGTGATTGAGTGCGTTTTATTGAATTCATAGCAATACCTTTCTTCGTTACATTCATTTAGATGATGGAGAAATTACACTCTCGAACTTTGTTAAAATAGTTCGATTCTTTGGTCCATTTAAAAAAGATGACAAAAACTGTGTTATAATCCATCATGTAAGTAATAAATTACTATAGTTCTTGCATGTTAATTATGTTAATCATTTGAAAAAGTGCTGTCATCTTACTTGACATTTCTTCCAGATAAGAGGGTTGTTCGGAAATTATTGAGATATTTTCTTTTTTTCCATAAAGGAAATAAATAAATTCATGAAAATTCGTCAATATTTGTTCAAAAACAAAATAAAACAAAATTGCAAAATTTCTAGTAATATGATCATTAGATAAGTACTGATGAAATTTTAAACTAGCATATGTTCATTGACTTGCAGCATCGCTACGTCATTTTGACGTCACGTCAGCCGTCGATTTATTTCCCATGTTGAAACGATCGAGAAGTGTTAACTCTTTTTTGTCTGTCATCACTTACGTAAGATTGTTTGTTTGTTTGTTTATTGTGGTTAAACGTCCCTCTCGAGAATTTTCACGAATATGGAGACGCCACCACTTACCGGCGGAGAACTGCAAATTTTAATTTATACTCGGCACTCAGGGCTATTGAGCAGTGAGGAATCTTTTTTGTACCTACTTCGACACGGCACCTCAGTTTATACGGTCTCGTCCGAAGGACAGGTCTCCACGTCCCACGACTGTAGAGCAAACGCTCTAACCACTGCGCCACGCGGACGACACGTAAGATTGTAGAAATCAAACTCTTTTCTTAATCGATTCTTTAAAAAACAAGCATTCTGAGAGTATTGCATTAGCAATACTAGTCCCCTACCGGCAAGTGTAATCTGGTTCCCGTTAAGAATTGAAAATGCCATAATTCCGTCAAAAATTAATGAAGCGGGACGAAATGCAAACTTAATCTATAACTAATCAAGGTAATATCACTTACCAAAAATCAGCTCAATATCTGAAAGCGTTTAGAAGAAAATTGCGGAAAACCCTAAAAAATTGAAAAGGCCGTAATTCCGTCAAAAATCAATGAAGCGGAACGAAATGCAAACTTGATCTGTAACTCATCAAGATACACTCACACACCAAAAATCAGCTCAATATCTGCAAGCGTTTAGGAAAAAAGTGCGGAAAACCAAGTGGGACAGACTGACAGACAGACAGAGGGACAGACAGACAGACAGACGGACGGACAGACGGACGGACAGACTCAGAGGAAACCTATAGTCCCCTCCGGTTTCACCGGTAGGGGACTAATAATGTGTGCTGTTTCATTCTTTGTAAAATCACATGAAGAGTCATATTACAGATGGAGAAGCATCATGCAGTAACGACATTTGCACCGCAGATCAACGTTATTTTGTCCGTAATATGTGGGGGTCGTCAGGCGTCTTTGTTTTCATTCTTGATGGATAATTTGTGCGATGGATTGTATGTAGTTTTACGTCCCATTCGAGAATTTTTTACTCATATAGAGACGTCACCATATACCAGGGAAGGGCTTCAAATTATGACCTTTACTCGGCACTCAGGGCCATTGAGCAGTGAGGGATCTTTATCGTGCCAACCTCTGCCGTGACACGGGCCTCGATTTTTAAGGTCTCATCCCCGCAACTTTCACTTCAAAGTGCCGAGCGCATGGCGAAGGAACAGTTGCTACCAATTTTTTATCGACTTAGGTCAGTCGCGGCCGAGATTCGAACTCACGACCTCCCGATCACGGAGCGAGCGCTCTACCGACTGAGTTACCGTGAACGGTACCTAGATAATGAACCTAAAAACAAAACCCTCTTACTTCATCTTCCTTTTACTTTAGTCCCGCTGGACACGTCAGCTGAGCTACGGTGAACGGTGAATAATTTGGGAGAAAAAATATACCAATGAAAAAATATACAAACAACTTCCTACACATATATCTTCGCATTGTTAATAGTCCCCTACCGGTGAAACCGGAGGGGACTATAGGTTTCCTCTGAGTCTGTCTGTCTGTCTGTCTGTCTGTCTGTCTGTCTGTCTGTCCGTCTGTCTGTCTGTCTGTCAGTCTGTCCCACTTGGTTTTCCGCACTTTTCTCCTAAACGCTTGCAGATATTGAGCTGATTTTTGGTGTGTGAGTGTATCTTGATGAGTTACAGATCAAGTTTGCATTTCGTTCCGCTTCATTGATTTTTGACGGAATTACGGCCTTTTCAATTTTTTAGGGTTTTCCGCAATTTTCTTCTAAACGCTTTCAGATATTGAGCTGATTTTTGGTAAGTGATATTACCTTGATTAGTTATAGATTAAGTTTGCATTTCGTTACGCTTCATTGATTTTTGACGGAATTATGGCATTTTTAATTCTTAACGGGAACCAGATTACACTTGCCGGTAGGGGATTAGTATTGCTAATGCAATACTCTCAGAATGCTTGTTGTTATAGCAAGTCGTTAAGTCTGGACAGGAGTTTTCCTCAGCGCTACACAACATTTTTGATTTTATGTATGCTCGCTACTCCACCTTGACCTCAAAACTTATTTTTCCGTTGTTATCAGATTTCTATAACGTGATAAAAATTATTTATGATCTCCGTATTTCTTGTCTAAATTCTATCAAACTTGCATAAAACAGAGTCAAAATAAAATTGAAAAATTGCATACATAATTTACTTATTACGGTTCTCCGGAACTTAGTACATAGTAGTTACCGATTTTTATTATCTGATTTCGTATCTCTACAATCGAGCATTAATACACCATAGAAAAGAAAAAAAAAATAGAATATTTCTGAAATATTTCTTGCATTTATTTATTGTTAATGTTTGTCAAACGTACATTGTATGTACAATGTACTAATTTCACCAATCTCTCAATACTTTCCTAACAGCCCTCGTATCTTTGAAAATTGTTTTTTACCAAAAAGGGGAAGTAAGGAAGTCAAGTTTTTAATATTGAATATGTATATTTTCCCCTATGACTTTATTTTTGAATTTGACAAAGACTTTCCAAGTTCCAAAATATATTTCGAAAGTAAATACATTTATTTCCAATTTTGATTGTTTCAGATGAGCGATATAGTTAAAAGATCCCTCGTAAAATCAGCAAGAGACAAGAAGAAAATAAGGTAATTTTCAGTCATGTACATCTGTTGTTTACTAGTAAACGTCATGTCTTACTCCTCTGGTTCTCTTAAAATAATGAGTATTCATGCAATTACTGTAAAATTTCTTATTTTTGTGCGATCAAGTTCTTGTGGTTTGACAAAAATATATTGTATCGCTGAGATTAAATTTCATGGTTGAAGTGTTTGATTTTTTTTTTCAATTTGTGGAGAACGTAAATTCAAGGATGTTTTCATACCACAAAAACAAAGAAAATGACCACCACCCCACCCCACGAAAATAAACAATTTTTCAGTACTTGGCAATTCCTTTAGTTATTAAACTGTTCATATAATAGTTGGTTTGCTGGTGACATGACTCGAGAGGATGCAGAGAAAATTCTGGAGAAACAGAAAAACAACACCTACCTTGTAAGGTAAAGAGTCAAGTGTGCTTTTGTACAAGTTATTTCGTAATATATCAATTTATTTTTCTAACTATTGTAAAATGTTAGTATTCAGTGTTGGCAAAAATTGTAAGGATTTTAAAATAATTTCAGAATAAAAACAGCAGAGATATTCATAGTTAACAAGTCTTTTGTTTGTTTGTGTGACTTCAGAATGAGCCAGAGTGGGTCAGAGGATGGGAATTTTGTGGTTTCTGTAAAGGATGAAAATGGAGTACATCATTTTGAAATTGAAGTAAGTAAATAAACCTAACATTTGAAAAAAATTAATTTACTGGGCAGTTTGAATCAATCATTCATGTTTTTGTTTTCTAGCTTAATGATTTGTACATATTTATCTACAAAAACTTATCAGTAAATCATCAAAGCTCCAAAACTGACAATTTAGTATGACATGATGCAAGATAGTGAAAAATGTTTCACATCGTGAAGTCTTGTTTTAATACAAAATATTGTGACTGATTTTGATTTTTAACATTAGTTTATCAGCAATGTTTATTATAAATGCTTTCAGTTTATTTTGATTATATTTGCAGGGAAACCCTGAGGCCTCAAGTAAAAGCGCTTCTTTGAATTGTAACCTGAAGTTTTTGGGTAAAACATATGAAACTTTACCAGGCGTGATTGAAGACTTAAAATACCATGGTCTAAAAGATGAAGGCGATGAAGAAGAAGTTCAATGCACCTTCATATGCCCTGACTTACCATTTAACACGGTTATAACACCTTATAAACGTGCATAGTTCAGCCTACAGCCCTATAGATAGCTTTCGTATGTCGCATTTTCCCTCCGCGTTATTCCTCTTGACCGCCATCTTGGAGGTCAAAGAGGTGAATTTTCCTCTTTGAGAAACCAATTTTAAACATGTTTGGCAGAAATCTAGAGGAAAAAATCTTTACAATATTAAAATTCTGAACTAAAGGAAGCTTTAATAACAAACGTATTTTCGTTAGAAAAATTGTGCTATCTACAGTTGAATGTCCAGAATGACAATTTTGAATTGGTTGAATAATGAAGGAATCTGGGCATATTGACCTAAAATATAACGGCCAACGGGAAATAACTCGTGCTAAAATCACATCTATCGAAAACTATCTATATATACTTGTGTGCCCTACCTATCATTTAACACGGTCATAATCAAATATAGTTCAGTGTATCTTTGTTTCCTGATCCACCATTCACACAGCTAATGCACCTTAAAGGTAGACCGAAAATTCGAAAAGGGCATTTTACTCTTGAGGATTTTTTATATTATGACTAAGAATTGTGATCATGGCTTTGCTGTTGTGGCAATATCAGTTTATTAGGTGTTTGTTAGGTACATAGTAATTAATTACTGTGATTCGCAATTGAAATTTATGTTTCCAGTGTAGTCCAGAGTGTAAGACTATGGTATGTAAACATCCATGTACAGTACCAACCAGACCCAACCTGACACCAAAGCAGTCCCAGAAAGCAGTCCCCGGGACTGCTTTGGGACCGTTCTGGGACTGCTGTGGGACTGCTCTGGGACCGCTGTGGGACTGCTCTGGGGCCGCTATGGGACTGCTCTGGGACTGCTGTGGGTCTGCTCTAGAAAGCAGACCCAGCAGTCCCAGCAGTCCCTGGGACTGCTTTCTGGGACTGCTTTGTTCACTCATGCGTGAAAAAGGTTCTGAGTGACATGATAGCTCCGCCCCTTGTGTATTCTGATTTTGCAACTCCTTGTTGTTGTTTTGTTTACTTTCTGCAGAGAGGTGTTTAAGATAAAAGCAAATATAAAAAAAAAACAAGTATTGATTTCTTACAAAAATTAAATAAATAGAGATAGTTATACATGTAATTACTAAATGTCTTCAGAGGGCTGTAAATTTACACAATTGTAGTCTAGAATTAATTTTAAGAAAATAAAAGTAGTTAAAAAGGGAAGTCAGGGGATGATTTTTATACCTTAAATTAAACTTCAATACAGGTGTTTGAAAAAAAAATATCTAGGCCTATTTAATAAATTAATGCTGTCAAATTACATATGTACTCAAAGTTTGCATTAGCACTATTTAAAAAAAACAAACAAACAAAAAACAAACTTGTCATTTCAGTAAGATACATGTATTCAGAGGAACGTACTGTCCTGGATTTTTTTTCTTAATTGAAAAAGCTAATACCATGCTTAAAAAAGAGCACTCCATGCTATGTTTTACCACCCTCAAATAAAACCTAATAATTTATTTAATGACCATGAAATAAAATTATTCCACCATTCTACTGTCACATGAACAATGTGAACAATTATTCCGGGATTTATTTATGAATTAGTTTTTAATTTATAAACAAGTCATTAAAAGAGTACATTTATTTAAAAAATAAACATTTGAAAATATCGGGAATTGTGACTTGTTTCTTATTTCTTTTGTTTGTGTTTACCTGGCCGGTTAATACAGTGGGATTGTATAAAATGGTGTCAACACCTGAGGTTTCAATCGCCTTTGGGCATAATTAGCAGAAAGTCAATGCATGTTATTTGGGTATCAGTGTTACACATCACTGAACACGCTGGTCAACATTGACACTAATTTCAATCTTTGTCATGCAAAAAATCTTAGTTTCAATAATTGTGTATAAATTTATTTCGGGATTAATTAATTTTGAACATAATCTGAGGGTTCCATTTGCGTGATTTACAGATGTACACTCGAACATTTATATAATAAAACACTTAAAACTGAGAATCTAAAGATAATTAAATTGGCAAGTCATTGAAAATAATCATGACTGAAATATAATACTCGGCAATGTTTAACAAAGAATTTTTCAAAAGCTCCAAGACTTAAGAAAAATGCATTCAGAGTATAGTATGGGAATCGGCCTTGCTCTATAATTATCATTATCTATTTAAAGCTAATTCTGGTATAAAATAAACAATTCAAGTTTAATTTTCTATATAAAAAAAATAAATATGAAAAACAATATCAATCACAAAAAATGAAGAAATTGGTTTATTTTGGTTAAAAATTAATATACCAAATAATTGTGTTTAAATATTCATGTTATTAATAGGTGTGAACGTCTTCTTCATTCAATAATTGTAAATTGTTTCTATACGCGTACTGTGATTTTCTTAACAGTTCAAAAGTGACTGTCACGTAAGAATTGTAAATATTTGTTGATACTACTCAGAAAGAATTGTTCATCAATTTCAACCGCCTTTTATATAGTTACATTGTTTATTGGTAATCTCATTCTGAGTAAGCTCCGCCCATTAAATTAATAAACCCCGCCCACTGGGACTGCTTTCTGGGACTGCTGGGACTGCTTTCTGGGACCGCTGGGACTGCTGGGACCGCTGTGGGACTGCTCTGGGACTGCTGTGGGACTGCTCTGGGACCGCTCTGGGACTGCTTTAGCAGTCCCAGAAAGCAGTCCCTGGGACTGCTCTGGGACTGCTTTGTGTCAGGTTGGGTCTGGTTGGTACTGTACATGTGTTCTTGACAAGAAACATTTATGTGTCTTATTATTTGAATGTTATTTTTAAATTGTTTGTAAATTATTATTTTACCGTCTTTTTAGGTGAATTTATCCCCAAAAAGATTAATATGGATATGTATCACTCATAACACGATAAGAAATCCTTTTCTACACATTGCTAGACTCATTTATGGACATTTACACTGTACATTATTCAAAATCTGCTGTTAGAAAGATTCACGAATTTCATGTTTATTATGGTCTCAGTGCAAGAAATACTGTACATAGTTTATAGAAATAGATACATAAAGCATGGCTGTGTAGTTCTACCCTTTGATAATAGTTTTGTTGCACTAATTATTTTATCCTCTCTTAATACAAGTTTTTTTCCGTCCTTTTTATTTTCTTAATGTATCTTATGGTCTCAGAATATCAGTATTTTAAATATATGAATTCTCTTTTGTGTTTATATTTGAACTGATTATGTCCGTCATTAGGAAAAAATTAATATTAGTTTTTAGTCTTAATTGTGTTCAGTTTCTCAGTAGTATATATTTATTTATTTGCTTGCCACCTCTAAGTCAATGTTTTGATGATATGGTGCGAAAATTAAAGGCATTAATGAAATTGCTTTAAACAGACGGATGATATAATGAATCATTTATTTATGATATGTTATAAATAAGAAAGTACGGTTTTAGCTTTATTGTGCCCTTAAAATTTAATGTTTTCAAAAAGTTTTAAACTGGCTTAAATATTAGTTGAGTATAAGACTGTGATAAATCAAGAAAGAATATGGAATGAAGGGGTACCATTCTGGAAATATGACGTCATTAGGTCATTAATTTGATGCATTTCTCTGTTTTAAACAGAAAAAGCTTCAAAATGACCCATTTCAAGGGTTATTTTTCTTAAGAAAATAGTATCCACAGCCGTCACCCACTTTTATTTTCGGATATGTTGTGTAAAATTCTTTGAAAAATCACAGATCTCAAAATCTTTGTGGGCGATGCCTGGGACAATATTATCTGAAAGAAAATTCCATTGAAAATTGGTGTCTTCTGCAACTTTTTAAGAAAATACGGGAAAATGCACAAGTTTATGAGTCACAATAAGCATTTAGAAGGTCATGTGAGAAAAATGATTTGTATGATCTTTCTGCATGTAATTTCAATGATTCAGAAAGCATGAGTTTTAATTTTTTACATCACTTTCATTTTTAAGAAAACAAAGTGCAAGATTTGTATTGAAGCCGTACTTTGTTAATTATTTATATAAATTTTTCCTGACTCTTGTATGTCAGTATTTGTGTCAGATTTTTAAGTAACTTATTAAAAAGCATAACATACCGGGTACATTGTAAGAATGCAATGATGGACATTTTAGTCTTATTGCTTTTATGCCAAAAGTATCTATTGTAAAATCTTTAAACATGTCATTAGAACTGTTGAGTTAAAGCTTGAAAAGTTTGACTCGTAGATATTTTTATGTATTCAAATATGTTACCAAACTGGCTTTACAATGTTTTATATTTGTTTTGTTTAAATCCTGATGTATATGAAATACTCATTAGAGATACCTAGAGGTTAATGGACTATTACGTTTTTCTTAGTTTCTAAACCATGAAATTAAGAATTTTTCGACAATACTTTTATGCTATTCTTCCAAGAAGTATTTTTTTATTTCCTGGCAATATATATAAATGTGTTCAAAACATAACTTTCAGTCATTTTGAGGTCCTTAGTTAGACAGTTTTGAGAAAGTAATAAAATTAAATTTGATGAGGCAAAATAAGCAGTAACTATTTACTACGCTCAATATCTCAGTGGTTTATGTTCGTGACAGAACAATATAAGTTGCATATATACTGTAAAAATAACCATACCAAAAGGTGTTTGTGTCTTCATAGAGAAATGATTTTTGCTATCCGTGAATTGATTGTTGATCTGCTTATAATGTCCATGAACTTCTTTTGATATTTGCTTGTAAATTTAGATTTAAAAATTACTGTAATAGATATGAAATAGTGTTGTATTGTTCTATGACTTTTTATAGTGTGTTATATGTAATCACATTGGGTACATATGGCATAAAATTTTCTTACTGCATATACAGGGTATCCATGTGCTAACACTATCTTAAAATTCCGAATTTTTGTTTCATTTTGTATAAAATTTGTTTTTTAGCTACAATCTAATTTGTTTATTGACATTAAATATTGTATGGACTAAAAGAGGGAATAATCTCCTTCCAATATATGAGTTATAACTCACCTAATATTTGCAAAATGATGTGAAAAAACATAAACATTCAGAAAAATATTGTAAGAAGAAAAAATATTAAAAAAAATAAAATTTAGTCCGAATTTCCTTTACATCACAATACATTTACCTATAATGTTGACCATTTTCTTCAAATGGTTTGAAATTAAATTTCAATATTGATATTTATTTATTACATTGTATTTTTGTTCATTTGGAGTATTTTTTGTTGTAAGATATTGTACTTTATAGCATTCTGTTGTTGTCAACTAAAACCCTGAGAGAACATCATCATTATGGCTAGATTCTCAGATGGAAAAAAACTGTATCAGTAAGTAATGGTTTCAATTAGATTAAGTTTTACCGTCTAATTTAAGGAACAGAATCAGGTCAAGATCACTATCTTTTCCTTTGATAATAATGTTTTTCTCTTTGCATAAAAAGATTTTACCACATAGGATCTATCAGATGAAATACCAAAACTTTAAAAAATGATTTCGAATTTCCTCTATTTATAATTTACATTTTGTATTTTAATTTTTCATGTTTTCACATTTGGTGAAGTAGTCATTTAAGAATAAAAATAAATGACAAGAGAACAAAACGTTTGATCGATTGATAAGAGAGAAAAATATTTTTAATGACTTTTTTGGCTCATATCTAGCTTTAGAAAGGAAGTTTTTAAAAGCCAAGAAAATTGTAATTGTTTGGAAAATCATATAATTAAATTTGATATTATCTAAAAACGTAAGTTCCTTATCATTACTTTAATATACTTTAGAAATTTTCTTTCAGCCTTTGGTTGCTTACAAATGGTAACTAAATTCATTATTCTGTAGTAAATTGGAAAAGCAGAAAATGAGATATATTTTCATACGCAGCTGTTCCGCCAAAAATAAAAAAAAACTATACAAGAATTTAAACTAAGTTTACTATTTCTATTTAGAGTTGTACATTATTGTGAGATTATGTGACATTATTGTTAAATGAACTTTACTATATATTGAATTGTGTTTGTGATTTGTCTGTCTGTAAATCTGTCCGATGGATTGTCTGTATATGTAAATGTTATATTTGTGTCCCCTTCCTAAGAACACTTTAAACCCTGTGACCAATTCCATTCAATATGGTTTATAAGATCCTTGAATAAAGGAAATCTTTTATTCAGATAAAAATAAACCCCACCTCTTCCATGGTCATTGAAAAAGAAACAATAGCCTGGAATTCTCTCTAGAAACACGTAGCCAGAAAAACATAGAAAGCTAATACATGTATATTGATTTTTCAATGCTAAGTTAATTTGGGTTCTCTTTATGAGGATAGAATGAGAACTACATTATATGGTTAAAGTTTGAGATGAAAATTTAGATAGAAAGTCTTTACAAGTCTTATTTATCAAGAAAACACAGCTATTCTTATTCTCATGCAACCAATGTATACACAATATATCTTTATTTTGATACATAAACATTTTATTTTTTTTCACCAACAGCCTCATCTGAAAAAAATCAATCAATAATGGTGAGAAAAGTGACATTTTTTTCTAATATCATTTATATGACTTAGTTGTTTCGTCACAATATTAAGCCGAATCGTGCTCGACATGAAATCGTCGTAGAAGCAAAGAATAACAAGTACCGTGTTTTAGCTTTTACAGACATACAAGTGTGTCCTATAGCAGTTATCAGCCTGCCAACGACTGTTAGTATCCATGACAATACACGACTCGTTGGCGTCTTCGGGATGCTGCCAATTGTTAAAATTACGTGAACTCCCGTCCGTCCAGGTGTTGTGCTCCATCCCCAACCATATCTCGTCTGAACAACAAATCATAGAGGAATATTGAATTAGAAAATGTATTACTGCTTAGGAATGAGAAAAAATTATGAAACAAATTCTGACTTTTGTGTCCTTCACCTCTGAATCACACTCACTCTATCTCTGTATCTCTCCCTCTCTCAAAAGAAGGTATGAACCTACTTTTGTTGGCTAGGACGTTGTGGACAAAGGTCAGTTCTTCCACTGAGTGTATACTAACAAGTTCCATATGACACATTTTGCAAGCCTCCTGAAAACATTTTCGTTAAAATTTAACAAAAATAGTTCGAGATAATGATTATTTTACTCTAGATTAAAAAAAAACCAATTTGTTCAATTTATTTTAAAGAAATGCTAAAAATCAAATTTATTCTAGGCAATGCTCTTATTTATTTCTTTTTGAAATAAAATATTCTTACAATGATTAAATCATGTTTCAAACTGTGAACTTAAATTAAATAGTAAATCCGTCCCCAAGGAGAGGAATTTCAGATTATTTTCTTTATAAACTGACCCGTGCTTCCTGTTTGGTTAATCTTTGACGCCCATGTAACTCCGAGGAGTAGTAGAAATGATTGTGATGTTTAACCATATTTTCCCGACTACAGGTTCCATCTGCTCAAAAGCAATGCTGGAAGTTTTATGATATTTTCCAAGAGAATGTAATTATTGTGAATGGCAGAAAAAAAACGAATCTCTCAAATCCAGTTGATTTATAAATGTAAGAAACTAACAAGTTAACAATCTTCAAGGTACAATGGTAACAAAATTCGAATGGCTGCCCACCGTTGTTTTGATTGTGATGATGATGATGATGATGGCGTGTTGTGTGGTCAGTATACACAATGGTAGGTTGGATTGTTGTGGACAAAGAGGGAACTTTAGTTACTGTTGTTGCAGTCATTTTCGTCGATGTCGAATGTTTTTGATGGTGAGGATGATGACTTGTGTGATGGGTGGGGTGCTGTGCCTCGTGATGAGTGGATACGATTGTCAATTTACTTGAGGGTGTTGCTGTGGTTGTACTTGAACTAGTTGTAACTGTTGTCACTGTTTGTGTTCTTGTTGTTGATGGTTGAGTAGTTGATATTGGTGGTGACGTGCTTGTTGCTGGGAAGTTGATTGTTAGTAAACCTGGGTAGCCTCGATTACAATTGTCTCGTGCACAACATTGAAGAGACAGACTTCTTTTGCCTTCCCTTTTCTGGACAACCGCACCACAATTCTGTAAACAAACATGTTCTCTCTCTCTTTTTGCTGTGTATGTGCATTTATTCAGAAAATATTTTAGTGAAAAGTTGTAAGTAATAACATAAAAAAGATATTTTTTCCCTTTTATGGTAAAAAATTCTTCACAACATGTGAATATTCTTTTCACCATACAAAAAATTAAATTTGCCTTATTTAATGTAGAATGTTGTATTTCTATATCTGTATATAGCAAATAATTAACATAAATGAAGCATGTGATAATACCTACATTGGGATTTACACATCCTAAACGGTACTTAAAGTTAAAGCCATCATCAATTGTTTCCGTAACTGAACACACCTACAACATAAATATTCTTACGAAATAAAAAAGGAATATGCAGTGAAAAGTGGAGAATTGAAATTGAGATGAATATGGAACTTTGTTTCAAAATTGGGATTTTTTGCGATCATTTGTAAGTTCAATAAAAAAATATCAAGAATTACTAGTTTAAATGAAACGTAGTGTTGAATAAAATAGAAAAAGTCTAGAGAACATGTGATTTTTTTTTTTTTTTATTTATTTATTTATTTTTTTTTTTTTTTTTTTTTTTTTTTTTTTTTTTTTCAAAATGAAAGTAAATCCTTCTATCCTGAAACATAGGACTAGTCAATGTAATACCTCGTTAAGTATACACTGTGTAGTAAAATTACACTGAAGAGGGTTGTCTACAAGAACGCAGTTATAGCAAGTGATGGCTGAACCTAAAAAAGGGAATCAAAAAAATATATGATTATTAACTTAAAAAATATTTTTAAAAATATCTAGATAGTGCGTTTTGGACAGCAACAAAATTGAAAACTTTTTTTGGTCAAAGATAATTTTTAGTATTTCCAAATTTTATATCCAATTTTAAAAATCGATCAAAATGTGGCAAGCAGTATCTTTATTTTAGAGAATATACGGATTCTTGAATCGGTTTTTAGTTAATGGGGTAAAATGTAAACAAAAACATATGCCCACCTTTTGTCCATAGGCTCATTAAAATGAAACACACTGAAAAAAAAACGGACTATTTGAACGAAAATATAAAAAAAAATACAACATCTTTTTGTAGAAAAAGGCGACAACCTACTGATCTGGAAACAGCAACTTATGTATGTTTGTTTATCATACTGGTATTCAAATAGCCATCTTTAGAGCCTGTTTTATTTAAAAGTAGTACACAGTCTCAATAATGCCCGACTTATTCCTGTCTTTTCTATAGTGACTTATGCATACTTATCTTTAGATTTTTAGAACGTTAATCTTTGAATGTCTTTTAATGTTATAAATATGTTCTGTTATAAATCCATATTACCTTGGTTGTTAACATTTTTACGCTGAAGCTTGTTAAAAAGATACAGTTATTATTTGCTTGATTTATTACATTATCTAAATTCTTCTCTAGTTATATATGATAGAAAATATTAAGGGTATACGACAACAGGTACTTGTGGTAGTTCCTTTTTCGTTCATTATGGCTTGATTCATAAGATATAATTAATGCACTCATACTTACAGAACAGGATCACCATTTTGATTGTCTTATCAGAAACGTTAATTCCAGTTATCTCTGTATTGTATTAAGACACCTTATCTAATTATTCATAGATATATAGTACGGTCATACATGCATATATGTACCTAACTTGTTCTCATTTGGAGAGGCTTTTGAATAAATTTATCATACTTTAGACAACTGAAAAGAGTTCATATATGTCTATATTAAAGGATTGATGATAAAAAAACAGATTTAAACTGGCACTTGGGGACCAGTTTACTGAACTCTCATAGCTACCTGTATATTGTTTACATTTCAGCGACCAAAGAGAAAGTACTGATTTGATTTATATTCAGGTCAGTTTCACACAAATAGATAACATTTTGTAATATCCCTCCATTTTGAAAGTATTTTATTTGGCATAAATTTCAAACTTCAATTGGAACGTTCGTTTAGCAGTTAGATGAATAAGAGGCGTGTGGGTAATACAAAACAAAATGGCTGCTAAAGACAGGGCACAACATTTCATTATGTGTGAAAAGTGTCAAAGACCTGTAGAATTTACATGTGTTCCGTGTGAAATTAAACTCTGTGGAGAATGTTCTTTGAACCATATGCGCACGAAATCAAAACGAGGACATGAACTCCGGGAATATTCTCGGTCTTTGACACAGCAGTGTGACATACATCCTAGTTCTACATGTGACGTCTATTGTAAGTCCTGCTCTGTTCCAGTCTGCAGTGAATGTGTCGCTACAAATGAACATAAACTTCATGACCTTTCATCAATGTCTTTAATAACTACCTTTTTCGAAACATTGATAAAAGAAGAAAGTAATGAGTTACAAACAAAAGTTAAAGGCAACTTTGAGCAGTGTATTCAAGATATCAAGAGCAATCTTTCTACCGTATCTAAGCATTTTGCTGGTGTCAGACAAACACTCAAGCTATGGGGTAAAAAATGGCACCGTGAAATTACATCTCTTGAAGAATCTCTTGGAAAAGAACTAAAAGATGCAGAGGACGAGGCTTTGAGGACTCTGAATGAGGAAAGGGCTCTTATGGAAAGCAAGATTCAGGACATTAATGAATCCATCAAGAAATACGAGGAACTACAAGCGTCAGAAAACCCTAAACTTCTCGTCAAATTTCAGTCTAAGTTAGACAAACTCAGTGAAATACCTACCCTGAGAAACTTCTGTGTTGTTAACTTTATTTCGACTGAACTACCAACTGATCTGAGGAAAGTCTTTGGAAATTTCAAGTCTTTTATTTGGCCTGTCGAATTTTCAAGTCTCTCAAAGATAAGGACATCAAAAGAAAGTAAGGCATAATTGACATTTTTTCAATGAAATATTGAGATAACGAACAGTATTCAAGCTCAAAATCCATTAAAACAATACAAATCGGGAGGAGAGCAAACACGTACCTCCAAAAACAGAGGTGGGATCAGGTGCCATGGAGGAGTGAGCATCCCCTACCGACCGGTCTCACCAGCCGTGTGCTCCTTATCATGATCGAAAAATCCGTCGACAATTCAGTGTGAAAATAGGTCTAACAATTAGTATGAAAAACGTCAGTCAGCATGAGACTTAATGGTAGATTGTATTTGCTGAAAAGGTCATTGTATCGATCATAGAACTTACGAAATGATGACTTTAAACAAGACTGTTGATAATCTTGTTTCATCAACTTGTTTGTCAATAGAATTATTCATAAATTAAATTCCTGTTCAATTGATTGAATTAAGTAATGTTAATTAAAATATATTTTAATCTAAGGAGATCAAAGAGTCTTCAAGAAAAAATAATTTTAAAAACATTTAAATATGTCTTAGAGATAAATAATACATAAAATGATGCATGGATTATATACTGATTTTGAATGTAAATCACACAAATAATAGATTTCTTAAATATAAAGAAATCGCTGGTTCTCCTTGGTGTGTAACTTTGTACCTTTTTCTATATAATTCAACAAAAGTTTTTGCACACTTTTTTATGACAATATTACAAAGTTATACAAAATTTCAAAATCTACACTGGCAAACGTATTCCGATTATTTATATGAAGATAATTCTCTTAGATGTAATGTCGCTTTCTGGAAAAAAAAAGTTCATTTGTGTTAGTATCCTTATTTGATGCACATTAAATCATTTATTTGCACAAATATAATAATACTTTAAACTATTTTTTAAAACAGTATTTTCAATTCTAAACAAGCAACATGGGAATTTATTCAACGTCCAAAAGGATTACGTATTGCACAAGGACGAGTATTTCCCTCCACAATTTACAAGATGTTCAGTTCAGCTACATTCAAAACTTTTCTTTTGTCTTCGAAAGTCGAAACCTTTTCGTGAAAAGGTAGAGGCATTTCTAAAGGGAGTGGAAGCCAGACCACTTTGGTCAGAAAGCGAAGGTTGTGAAGAAGGAGCATATCTGAGTATAGAAAGTACAAACCCAGCTTCAAATTTGAGCGACGCATGGAAAAGAACTGTTTCCGATAAAGTACTAGAATTCCTTAAAAATTGGACGATAAATAGTATTTTTATACCTGAGTTTGTCTGGGATAGAGTGGTCGGAGAATTGAGAACTATTTCGATCCCTAATCCTGAAAACACAGTTTGTTACACTGACAAAAAGCAGCGGAAAATATTTGTTATCGGCCAAGGAAGAGATTCATATACCTTGACTTTAACAATACAAGAAATTGTATGGAAATTAACAGATCATAGACAATATTGAGTGAAAAGCGTCACGGTAACAAGAGTTTCTCAAGGAACGGATGTGTTATAGTATCATTAAAGCTTGAAATAAATCTGTGTCTTCTGGTATATAATTGCTACCATCATAATAGTAATGAAAAAATGCACAGGAGAGTAGCACGCTGGGTGAGGGACATTTTCTGAGAATATTTTTGATAGATTTACTATATAAATTTTTATTTGGAAGCTGCTTGTCCTCCCCCTCCTCTCTTTTTTGTTGTATGGTCGAACACACGCAAACACCAGCATTTTGTAAAATATGCATTTATCATATAAAATTTGACACTCTAATAGAAAGAACATTTCCTTACCCTCAAAGCTAAAGGGAATAATGAAATTGAAATTATTAAAAATAATAATTTGTCATTTTAAAAACAACTATCCTCCAAAAGATATCTCAGTCTTCCTTTAATACAATTGTCTGTCTTCAACGAACCTTTTGGTATCGACATTTAGATAAATGGAGGACATATTACCAATTAACAATGGTTACTTCCATCCATATATCGACTCGATACATCTTAGTAAAATTGAAATAAAAGATACCACATCTTTCTTATATTTCGATATTTTACTAGAAAAAGACATTAATGGTATTCTAACAACAAAACTTTATGAAAAACGTGATAATTTCAACTTTTTCATCGTCAGATTCCCTTACTTCTGTAGCAATATAACCTCATCACCTGCGATACGCAAAGAGCATGCTCTACGTACGAACAATTTCCAAAACAAGGCAAGCTATTGACAAATATTTACATTTCTAATTAAGGTCTTTCGTCTTCACGGAAGACCTTATAGTGATTCTACTGTTTCTTATTATTCTTTTTTTACCAAAATTCTGTGCACGCTATTTCTCAAAAACTATTTAGTAGTTTTCAATGAAACTTTCACAAAAAATGAGTCATTTTATGAACTTTGTTCATCACAAATAAAATTTGGAAAAATCGCTTCCGGTTCCAAACTATGGGTAAATTCCTGATTTTTAAATGGAATGTTGTCCGCGGCAAACCTAAAGAACGACTAAAGGTATGAACTAGAGACTTATTAGAGATTATAGAACATGACTTCTAGATTACCAGAATTGCCTTTTCGTACGTCGTCACTACTTCCGGTCGCTACAGGAAGCGAATTTAAAAAGTGGAATTTTTCAATTTTTTTGTTTTTCAATATTTTTTGGTGAATTTAGTAGGGTTGATAGAGGCTCTTTTTAAAATGCATAATATGTTATTTGTTTGAAAATTGATAATAAATATTTCAATCATTATTAATATTTTTAGACAAATATTATGCATGCCATATCTCGAGAACTATTCAGTGGTTTTTCGTCAAACTTTCAGGGATAATGCGTTTTAAAAAGCCAATGTTACATTTGAAAGAATTTTGGAAAATTCACTTCCGATTCCATGTTACGGGCAATTTCCTGATTTTTAAATGAATTTTTTTCCGCGGCAGATCTAAAGAACGGCTAAAGATATAAGATATAAAGACTGGAGACTTATTGGAGATGATAGAACATGATTTCTAGATTTACGGAATCGCCTTTTTGTGCGTCGTTAATAGTTCCGGTCGCTACCGGAAGCGAATTAAGAAAGTCGAATTGTTCAACTTTTTTGTCTCTCAATATTTTTTAATGATTTTACTGGGGATGATAGAGATTCTTATAAGAAATGGTCACACTAGCATAATGGTTTGCGTGTTCAATTTTCATGCGTTCGACCTGGACTCAATCCCCAGAATGTCTGGATTTTTTGTACCTTTTTTCCTCTGAAATATAATACTCTATCTATGAAATGATATTTGTATGAAGGAGTTAAAAGGAATGCACAACGTTATACTGTTATGATTGAGGAATCAACTTCTCTCATGACGGAAAAGGGAAGGAAGACCTTCCTGTTGCCATGGCAACAGGTTTCTAGTTGTTTTCTCTGTTTTGTCATATAAATGGAAAATATAAGGAATCACTGTCCAGTTGTGTGAATTATCCCACGTTTCCAACTATCGTTCCTCCTCCATGGCACCTGATCCCATCTCTTTTTTTTTTTTTTTAAGTTCGTGTTTGCTCTGCACCTGATTTGTATTGCTTGAATGGACTTTTGAGCATGAATTGTATTCGTTATCTTTTTATTTCATCTTAAAAATGAAGACAATAATGAATGAAATATTAAAATCGTGTCAGCCCTATAATATTTGATATCATGAATGGAAATGAATTTGTTGAGATTTTTTAGAAGTAGTTCTTCAGATGTGCTTCTTACTGTAAAAGTCGTACTGTAAAAATTCTCTTATATTCTATGTATTTACACATATAATTTTATGCTGTGAAATATCTTTTCATGAAATTGAAAAAAAAAAGATTTGTCATTTTCTTCAATTGTATAATGCACCACTAAGAGCGTCACAAAATTTTTAATGTATTTAAATTGTATTTAATGTCAACTTCATATTACTGTATGATCCAAAGTCTGATATCCCAAACGAGTTGAACCAACGGTCGACTAGGAAATCCATCAAAGCAGTGGGTAGGTATCTATTCAACCGGGCATAAAACTGAAAGGAAAATGATTGATATGTGTTCTTAAAAATAGGTACTAAATCATTGCATTTCCTACTTATGAAATTATGGGGGTTTTTTCAATCTGCTTTACTAAATTCCGTTTGTGAAAGCATCAGGATATAAGTGAAAATTCTCTAGAGGGACGTTAAACAACAACAACAACAAAACAAACAAACAATTTTTTTTATGAAACAAATAAAACGCGAATCCCATGATCCCTTGTAGTAGCCATACCATACCCCCAGGTGTCATGATTTTAACAAATTCAGCATCTATAATTTGTTAGTCAAAACTGATATAGAAATAAGACTTTACCTTTAAAAGCAATTTTAATTGACTTCGCAAATGTGACATAATGGTGGCTTAATGAGGGTTTAATTAAAGGTTCATTTTTGTAGCTTAAAGGAGTTTGAACATTAGTCATCTAAAAGTCTGGCTTAATGGGGGATTTAAGGTCACTTAAAGATTGTCTAGAAGCCACCTATAAGCTATATTTAAGCAACCATTATACTAAATTTAATCAGCCATTAATGATATTTAGAAGGCTTAATGATACCCTAATGATAGTGTATACATTACTTAAAGATAGCTTTAAGATGCTTAATTAATGGTGGCTTAAGACGACCATTAATCTATCATTAAGCATCTATAAGCTGTCTTTAAGCGAAACTTTAAGGAAATGATTTATCTTGTTATTTTGAAAGATATTTCCTATATATTCTGATGTGTAACTTTGATACCCTGCTGTGGTACCACCCTATCTCCAGGGGTAATTATTTGAACAAATTTGAATCCACACTATGTAATAAAGTTTTAACGTAAGTTTTAACTTTTCTGACTTTGTGGTTCTAGAGATTTTTTAAAGATGCCACCAAATTTTTTTCTTATTCTTAATAATTTCCCCTTGCTAGAAGGACTACCCTTTCATTTAACAGATTTTAATTCCCTTCACCCGATGATGCGTCAAACCTGAGACGTAAACATAGATAGTGACTGTTCTTTCGCCAAA